ACCTGTAAATAGCATATGTTGTTAACCATCTCTCTCTCCACCACGTCTCCCTCCATCCTCCATCATCCTCTCCTCAATATCCCCCCTCCTCCCTCCGTATCGCCGTCATATCCCCGACATATCTCCACTATGTCTCCCTCCATCCTCCATCATCCTCTCCTCATCACCCCTTCCCTCCTTCTCCCCATATCGCCGCCATATCCTTAGCAAAAAAAAAAAAAAAACATAAAGCCTTGCGCACTGGGCGCATGGGTCCCTACCTGCCGCACACACCCGTGCACTGTGCACCTGAGAGCAGCGCACGCAGATGAGCTGCGCGCACCATGCATGGGAGACACACGCATGCACAGCGCGGCGATGCACCAAAAATATGATACACATATATCAAGGGGGGAAAAAACATCTACAATCGTTAACTTGTAAATGTGAGGATACAACCAACTTATAAAGGGATCTAAAGAAAAGCAAACACAATAGCAAAATTGCAAAACATTTACCTTGATGAGCTCCTTGGGGTCACTCTTGCACTATTGTCACCTGTCCGATTCAATGTACCGTCCTTGCTCATGGTTGTGCCTTCCACGCTAGCATGCAAAACTGGTTGGTAGATATTTCTTGAGTTATCGATTGCAGGACGGAATCCATCGTCATCTGACAAAAGAAGATCCAGACAAATAATGAATGATCTGAAATGGATTGATGTGCATGAAACCGGTACAAAAACAAATTATTAAGATCTCCTCCAAAGCTCCATGTTTGACCAAACTTCAGATACCAAGACTCAGATGTCAAGCTAGCGCTAAGAGCATCCTTCACTGCACAAATGGAAATACACTGCGGATCGAGTCAATGTCTCCTCAGCTACCCAGTAAACACACGAGAAACAAGAATAGAAGAACAAAGTTAAGATGAGACTTCCGAGAGGGAGAGTAAGGGGAGAACGGAGGAGTGAGAGAGGAGAGAGGGAGACAGAGGTAGGGAGGAGGGAGGAGGGAGGAGGGGGAAGAAGAGGGGGAGGCAGCAGGAGCCGGAGCCGGAGCTGGAGCGGGAGGGGAAGGACAGGATTGAGGGAGGGAGAGGGAGAGGGAGAGGGACACAAACACACACACGGAGAGGGACAGGCAGAGGGAGAGAGGGGACGAGGGGGATAAAAAGAGAGGATTACGGGGAACATGAAGAAGAGGGGGGAGAGAGAAAAAGGGGAGGAGGATTTCCAACACCAATATACACAGCCCACAAGAAAAGGACAACAAATAAGCTGGCTGGAAATATCACAGGGTGCTGTTTTTTCGAAAGGACAGAAAAACAGACATTCAAGGAAGATTGGGTGAAGACGAGACAAACACTTGGGAAAAAGGAGATTGGAACAGCAGGTCGGGCATGAATGAGAATCCATATTTCGCACCCACTGCACTTATGTTCGCCGACGACCTCACTGTCCTCATTCGCACCAATAACTCTTCATTCCAAGCCCTAGTAAGAGCAATTGAAGCCTTCAGACTGGCATTAGAAATGAAGGTTAACTGGGGCAAAACTGAAGGCTGGTGGCTAGCAGACGGTACCCCTCCCCAACCTGCCGACACTGCCACACCCATGTCGTGGATGTCGGGAGAGCAAGCATTACGTTTTCTGGGCATCATGGTCAACAAGGAAGGAGTATGGCCAGGAATGGGCCAGAACCTAATTGCCAGGGCAATCACCCGCTTCGCCCTATGCAAAAATGCTCAGGCCTCACTAATAGGAAGTGCCCTTTAATTAACACGGCAGTCTTCTCCACACTGTGGTACATGGCATCCATCTGGTCTCCCCCCCGATGACGACATCAAGACGTTAAAAACCAGGGCGAGATGCTACCTGTGGACAGGAGATCCCAACAAGACCACGTGTATCAACAGGGTAGCCTGGAACCACATCGCGAGGAAACCATAGGAAGGGGGCCTTGGGTTAATCGACCCCAAACAGGAGTCCATAGCACTGCACATGAAATGGATTATTAAGATCCTGATCAAACAAACCCTCCCTTGGAGCCAGATGGCTCTAGACAGCATCAGAAACCTGGTGCCCATAAACTACCCCCCAAACATGAGAGGTCTCTACTGGCTCATGGCGAAGGACTGGGGAATCAAATCATGCAGACCTCGCAGGAGAAACCCTACAGACCTCATCACAGCCCCCACTCAAACAGCTACCTCATACTGGAGTCCTACCATCAAAGCCTGGCGTAGAATGATGCCAAGTAAACATGGTTCACCAAGAAACAGAGAAGAGGTCCTGAGACAATCTCTCTTCTGCAACCCTTGGATCACTGACCCTAGCGGAGGGACATGCGCACTACGCACAAAAAACCGAAGATGGCTATCCTGGGTGGAAAAAGGCGTGTGGCAGGTGAAACACATCTGGGCAGAGGACAAAGGACGACGGGCTACCGAACAGGAGCTACGGAATGTCTTAAAAGGTTGTCACTCCCTTGCTGAAAACCTAATGTTGATCCAGAAGAGTATCCCAGTATGGCTCTCCCTCCTAAGGGAGGACTTCTCATGGAAACTAGATGACCCGTTGCAGCTTCGCCCGCAAAAACAGAAAACTAAAAAGCACAAAAGAAAGAAAAAGCATAAGGAACTGCCCTGTCATATGCCGCTTCTTTCACAAAAACAAAAAGAAGAGCCTGAGAGCATACAGAAATCCGCGTGCAAGAAATAGGAGGGAATACCACCGACCTTTTTTTGTTTCTTATCCGCGAGTGTTTTGTTTGGGAAGCCGCTGCCTTTGCAGCATCGTTTTTTTTTGGTGCTGTGCAAGAACTGTGAACTTTTATGAGAAAATCCTGTCCGGACTCCGTAGTCCCGTTGACGTTTTTGCTAAAAATTCTGATTCAGACTTTTGTTTTCTATGTTCTCTGAATATGTTTGTGATAAAGCGATCTTGCATGTATGCCTCCTGCTTACTTGCCAAGTCTTGACTCTATGTGCGCAAGTGCATGCGCGTGTGGGTGAGTTCTTTCAGGTTTGCGATCAATCGATCTTGCATTTATCCCTCTTCCCCGGGCCAATCATCAATGACATGCGCTTGTTGTTGAGTTGGTGGGGTCGGATGATGTCATTCATGATTGGCCCAGGGAAGTTGTGGAAGGCGCCTCCAACAACAATAGGAGTGCCACTGATGTTAAGAAGCAGGGGTTTTGCATTGTATGAATGATGAAACAA